AGTCGCGCCGGGGCTTCGGGTAGCTCCGCGCAAGCCGCGGGAGGGCTCCCCTGGCTTGCGCAGAGCTGCCTCTTATCCCGAAGCCCCGGCGTGCTGGGCAGTCGCGCCATGGCTTTGGGTAGCTCCACGCAAGCCGCGGGTAGCTCCGCGCAGCCGCGAGAGGGCTCCCCCGGCTTGCGCAGAGCTGCCTCTTATCCCGAAGCCCCGGTGCGCTGAGCAGTCGCGCCGGGGCTTCGGGTAGCTCCGCGCAGCTGCGGGAGGGCTGCCCCGGCATGCACAGAGCTGCCTCTTATCCCGAAGTCCCGGCGCGCTCAGCAGTCGCGCCGGGGCTTTGGGTAGCTCCGCGCAAGCCGCGGGACCCCTCCCCTGGCTTGCGCAGTGCCACCTCTTATCCCGAAGCCCCGGCTCTGGGCAGTCGCGCCAGGGCTTCAGGTAGCTCCGCGCAAGCCGCGGGAGGGCTCCCCCGGCTTGCGCAGAGCCGCCTCTTATCCCGAAGCCCCGGTGCGCTGGGCAGTCGCGCCAGGGCTTCGGGTAGCTCTGCGCAAGCCACGGGAGGGCTCCCCCGGCTTGCGCACAGCAGCCTGTTCTGGGGGCTGGGGTCGGGGGAAGCTCAGGCTTCCCCCACCCCAGCCCCGTGCCTGGGGGGGAAATAACATTTTTTTCCTTTATTTCCCCCCCAAAAAACTAGGTGTGCCTTATGGGCCGGTGCATCCTATGGGGCGCAAAATACGGTATTTACAGATCGAGGGGGAGAATTCACTTCTCAGCAGTTTGAAGCTTTTCTGACTGAGAAAGGAATACAACATGACCTTTCAAGTCCACGGTCTCCTTGGCTGAATGGACTTTGTGAAAGGGCAAATCAAACATTGCTTCAAGGCTTGAAAACCTTGCTGCATGATGCCAATCTTCCAGGAGAGTTATTGTGCAGAATCGCTCAACTGTTTTGTTTATACTTATAATCGCAGATTATCATCACCGATTGGTTGTACCTCCTATGAAAAGATGTTTGGCAAGAGACCATTCATCAAGCACATGAGAATTTTAGGTTCTGGCATGTGGGTTCACACACCACAAAGCTCCAAGTTAGGCAAACGTGGTTTGCATGGTATCTTTCTAGGATATCAGAAAGATTCTTACAGAGTAATGATGACTGACACTAATATAGTTAGGCTCACTAGAAGTGTTGAATGCAATGCCAAGTGGGGGGAGAATGTGGGAATTTTCCAACATTCCATGTTATCCTGATGACAGTGAAGAGATTGAGGATAAGCAGCAGCAAAACCCCACACCCATTGATGAAGGTTCTGATTCTGAATCTGAAACTGACTCAGATAGTTCAGAGGATTTCAAGAGTGCTAAGGCCTCTCTGCGACCCTCTGAAGGCTCTGATTGAGAATTGGAGGAACCACTGTTCACTATAGGCCACCTTTCTCCTAAGAAAGAAGAGGAGAGTGTTGAAGACTTACGTCTGATTTGCAGGTCTGAAAGAGCCACAAAAGGTAGACCTCCAAAGAGATTTGCTGATGAATTTGCTAAAGCAGCAAAAGCTGTAACTGCTGTTAATAGCTCCAAGAAGGTATTTGAACCTTCAAGTTTCTAAGAGATCCAGGCTTTGGACTCGAAGGATGCTGAGCCATGGTTAACTGCCATGAAGGCTGAGCTTGATTCCTTGGAGAGGAACAAAACATGGGAGCTAGTTCCAGTAGTCCCAGGGATGAAACTGTTTGGCAGTAAATGGGTCTTCAAAGCAAAGACAGATCAAAATGGCAAGATAAGTCGGACACAAAGCCAGATTGGTAGCCAGAGGTTTTGCACAGGTACCAGGAGAAGACTATCACGAGACCTACTCACCCACCGTGAGATATGACAGCATTAGGCTTATGCTCAAACTTGTTGCAGAAGAGAATGTACACGTTTCTCATCACGATGTGAATACAGCATTTTTGTACGGAACCTTAAGTGAATCACTTTATATGCTTTCACCTGATGGCGTACAGGTAAAACAGGGATTTGTTTGTTCTCTGAAGAAGTCCCTATATGGTCTCCAACAAAGTACACGATGCTGGCACTCTAAACTCACTGAAGTGTTGTTTTCTCTAGGTTTTCAGCAAGGTAAAGCTGATCCATGTATATTTGTCAAAGAGGAAGGGCAAAAGAAGCTGTATTGCTTGTTTTATGTTGATGATTTACTTTTCTTTTGGAAGGATGTTAAAATGTACAATAGCGTCCTAGCTCAACTGAAGGAGCACTTTGACATGAAAGATCTTGGTGAGGTAACCAACTACCTATCTCTGGAAATAGAGAGAGACCAAGATGGTAATATTTTACTACACCAGTCACAGAAAATTGCTGATGTGTTAACCAAACTAAACCTGATGGATGCTAACCCTGTAGACACACCAATGACAACAGGTTATTAGGTAGATGACACTGAAGAAGCATTTTCTGACACGATACTGTACAGAAGTGTGCTAGGCAAACTAAACTTCATTGCCAGATGTTCAAGACTGGACATTGCAGTTAGCTGTAACTTGCTAAGCAGATAAGTCAACAATCCTATTGTTAAGGATTGGAAAGCACTGAAACGCATAGCACGCTATTTGAGAGGCACTATGCACTACAGACTGAGATTTAACAATCAGAAGTCTGGCGGTCTTGAAATATTTGCTGATGCGAGTTTTGGAAGCGACGCTACAGACAGGAAAAGTACGTCTGGAGTTTGCTACATGTACAGTCAGGGTCTATTTGATTGGTCGTGCAAGAAGCAAACAACAGTAAGCTTAAGTTCTTGTGAAACTGAACTTGTGAAGCTGAACAATCCACTTGTGGATTGTGAATGGTTGTTACAATTGTGTAAAGACATGAGAATTCCTGTCAAATGTCCAATCCAGGTTTATCAGGACAACAAAGCATGTTTGGCTTTGCTGACTTCTGAAGGTTGTAAGCAAAGCACAAAGCACTTGTAATTGAAGATGCAACATGCTAGAGAATGTGTTCAGAAAGGACTCATAACGGTGTCCTACATGCTAGGTAATGAAATTCCTGCTGATTTATTATCCAAGGTTGTTCTGAAGGATCAACACTGTACCTATGTACAGAAACTGGGTTTGTACTGAGATTGTACTGACACGCTGCCCAGTGGTGTTCACAGAAAGGGGGAGGATGTTAGTTTCTGTTCTTATCACTGTGCAGCTGCTTGGAGTCACAGGACTCTGTTTATATTCCAGGGATTCCAAGCTATTGGAAGTCTCACGGGAGAGGAGACGGGATGTGATGTTAGTGGTTTCCTGTTTCCTTTGTTCTGTTGCTCTCTGCTTTCATAGAGAGAGGATGTCTTTTCTGTCTGCGTAGCTTAGAAATAAAACTTTGCAATGTAGCCATAAATCTCATCACTTCCGCATGCTGCTGGAAACTCTGCTTAATGGAATGTGCCTGAGGCCCCATCAAAGGCTCAGGTCGTTAATTATTCGTCGGAGGCGATTCCGAAGGCTCGGCCGGAGGAAAATGAGACTTTATTAGCTTGGCCGAGCGGAAATGCCGACAGGAGGGTGGGGGCCTCATACACATATGAGATTAGTATGTACACTCTATGAAAGAAGGCAACAGAACACATTGACTAGTACTAGAAAGCAGCTTTGAAGTACTGGGTGGCTGCATAAAAAAAAATCCTTAGCAGATATTTAAAAGAAATTTACAGACACTTAAGTGCTTCTATAAACATACAGCTAGAAAATGTATTATAGGTTGCTTAAAGTATTAATTTGTTTGTGATCCTTTGAAAGAGGCCTTTTTATATCTGGCATGTATTTGACTCGAGTACAAAACCACTGGAAGCTTACAAATTGACAGGATTGTGTTAAATAGCTGAGAAACTGCAAGTCATCTTTCATTACATAGATAGGCCTAGTGGACGGAGGGAAACACTCAAGTTACCAGTAAAGCTGGCTTGTAGGTAATAGTCTTTAGCCTTTTCAAGCACTTGTCTACCTAACAGCCATATTAGTTAATGAATCAGCATCTTAGTAGAACTAGATGCATGCATTGTTCAGAGGGCGTGGAGCAGGAGGGTAACTGCCATATATAATGCACAAAATCTCTTTGCTTTCAGGATTACTATCCAATGAAGGCATGCACACGCTTTCATCATGGTGGCATAGCTATCCTGTTGTTGGTTCCCATAGGTTCTAGGTTTCCATAGCTGCAGTAATGTGAGACTAGTTAGACGTGAGGGAAGGGCATATTGAGGGAATCTGACCATTTTTGCTTTTTACAATTTGCTTATCCCTGGGTCCAGTAGGAAACCCACAGGAATGGGGAATCATGTATTTCACAGTGCTTAACATCTGAAGTTAATTTCTCACCCAACCCAGTCCTGTTGTTCTTTTCCACATAGCAAAGCAGACTTTTTCAGTTTTTCATAGATGGTCATGTTTCAAATGTAAGTGTTGGCTTATCCGCTTCATCTTGTTTAACACAACAAATACAGATATCCTTTTAAAGCACATCATTTTTTTTTAAAGGAAAACTTGTAGTTGGTGTGGGTTTTCTAAGCAGAAAATTAAAACCTTTAAAAAAATGATTTATTCTGGGAGCAGCAGAAGGTAACGGTCTTCTCCCCCATTTCTTAGTTCTGTAACTAGTTATTATAATAAGTCTGTAAACATATTGGAGTCCCATGCTGCCTGTGATCACTGAAAAAAGAAGAGCAGAATTACAGGCCCTGGAGTGCTACAAACCCAGACATTTATAGTTTTACAGTTTGTTAGGGACAGAGAACTTGTTTGGAGTCCTTTCAGTGGGTATATCTTTGTGGTTTCTAGGTTCAGTGCCATTGGATATCTTCACTGTCCTGAGCACTTGGTGATATTCAGAGAGGAAAACATGCAATAGCACCAAGCAAAATGGGTTTAACGCCACGTAATTTGTTGGTGGGGGACGGAGGGTGGAAAGTTAGTCCTCACCTATCCCATTGTTTTAATGCACTTTTCATATGTTTTCAGGATTTTGTCCCTTTGTACCAGGATTTTGAAAACTTCTATACAAGGAACCTCTACATGCGCATTAGGGATAGCTGGAGCAGACCACTCTGCAGTGTACCGGGAGCCAAAGTAGACATATTAGAGCGGGTTTCCCATGACTACAATTGGACATTCAAGTGAGTAAAAGGCTTTTGGAAAGCTCCTGCGCAACTAACCTTTAGAGCAGGGGGGCGGAGAACCTGTGGCCTTCCAGATGTTGCTGAAATAAAAGTACAAGTAAGTCAGGGGTCCAAAACAGTTTCAGGGTCAAAGATTCTCCACCCCTGTTTTAGAAGATAATTATCATAGAATCATAGAGTTGGAATAGACCACAAGGGCCATCGAGTCCAACCCCCTGCCAAGCAGGAAACGTGAGGGTTTGTGAAATGGGTTGTGGAAGATGGACCGCAGCCTCTGTAGCAAGGATAAGAACTCCACTATTCCCTGTTGCTTAACTCGGTGCCAGACTTTCAAGATTGCCGTGCCACAGATCCCAGTTCACCTATACTTGGATCCTACAAAACAGCCCATGAGGGCTGACTGTTTTAAGGCCTGTATAGAAAAACCATATAGATTAGGGGGTGACCAACATTTGTGTCATGTCTTGTGCACGTTACATTACTTTTGCGTTTCACTTTGCCTTCAAGTGGGTTTGCCTCTAGTCCACTAAGATGAGCAGCATTGTAGTACTGAAGAGGAAGGCAGAAATGGATGCCATAGCCACATTGGTTGATTCCTGAGCTCTGGTCTGTTTGTGCCCAAGCTCATTTCTGCATTGCATGCCATGGGGTTTTGTGCTCAGTAGAGTCTTCAGTCTTATACATAAGTTTGTGAAAACTTATGCCAGAAACCCTTTGCTTTGGAAAAAGGGCAGTGTGCGTATCAGTCCCATCTTCTGTTCACTGGACCTTTTTGTAGGGTGTTCAGCTGTATCCCCCTTGGGCAAGGCAAATACAATAGCAGCCGAAAGGAAAACCTACCATACTTCCTGTGTTTGAGATAAACTGAGTATGTCCAGATTTCCACTGATTTAATTGGAATTGAAATGAATTGGAAGTGGCATGGGATAGCATGTCAGTTATCTCTGGTCTTTAATTTGGTTTATATATTTATATTCTATATATATTTATATCCCACCTCTACTCCAAGGAGCTCAAGTACATAGTCCCCCCCCCCATGTTATCTTTACAGCAGTCCTGTGAGTTAGGTCAGACTGAGTGACGGTGACTGGCCCAAGGTCACCCACTGGCCAAGTGGGGATTTGAGTGGTGGTCTCCCAGGTCCTAGTGACCTTTCATAAAGTGAAGAAAATTGGCAGGACTGTTTAGAAGCATGCTCAGGAAATGGTAGCTAAAGAGTTCTGTGTTGGAACGGAGCTAATTGAGCAGAGTTAACACCCATTGTTATTGTCGGGTTCATAATTCAAGGGGGTATGGTTAACACACTTCTAGAAGAGAATAGCTTTAGTCCTCCTTGCAGTAGTTTACTGGCTTCCAGATGCCCTTCCTTTGTGTGCTGGAGGATATTGTGCTTGAAGAAATTACTAGGATTTGAGGATAACAAGGGTAGGGGGTCTTTTGTGGGGTGGCGGTGGGGTAGAAGGCTTGAAATTGCCAGAGAAAAATAACAAACTCTTTTGAAATGCCTCAGCACTCTGTTTTGATTCTTAAGAGAGCTTTCAAAGAACATCTGCTAATCCGCAATCTGACACTTTACATATTTGTCTGAATAAAGCTAATTATGTTGGAAGATGCAGAAAAGCTTTAGTTTATGATCTTCAGCTATAACAAAAGAAGTCTTGCTGAGTTAAGCAGACTGAAACAGAGAAGCATTTGTATAAACCTGTTTGCCTTGCCTACTTCAACATAAGAAATCTCTAACAAGCGTTGGACACAGCCCTGTTAATACATTGTGACCAGTGAGGCTTTGATATTATTCCTGAAGGATATTATTCCCTTTGCATCATGTCACAAGTGGCTTTGAAGCTTTTGGAAACTTTAAAAAAGCAGTTTGCATTGTAGCAAAGAGTGACTGTTTTAGGTGGGCTGCCAGCTAGCTGAAAACTGCTTGGTGTGCACAGAGCCCTTTATTTCTAAAGGATTTTACTAGATTGCAGCCTTCAACAGTACTAAGCATATGTACTTTTACTTGTTGATGATCTCCATATCTTTTACATGCTATGTTTTTATAAATTTATATATAGGTACACAGGAAAAGTGATAAAAAACATAATTAACATGGGGTCCTACAACTACCTTGGGTTTGCAGAGAACACCGGAGTTCGCAAGGATGCTGTGGCTGAAGTTCTTTCGCAGTATGGATGTGGGGTGTGCAGCACTAGGCAAGAGATGGGTAAGTCCAGACAAAGGACTAGTATCTGAGTACATTTAATAACTCTGACTCCACAAAATATTGTATGGCAGTTCCTAAGCTTTTGCCCTAATTTGTATGCATCCAGCTTGCATCATTAACACTAAAAATTAAACTTCTTAGCATTAAAAGTGTTTCATTCACAGTGGATTTACCCATCTTGAACTCCTTTTCTATGTTTCTTCCAGGAAACCTGGACAAACATGAGGAGCTAGAAACATTATTGGCCAGATACCTTGGTGTGGAATCCGCATTGTCATATGGGATGGGATTTGCAACCAACTCAATGAATATTCCTGCTTTGGTTGGCAAGGTATGGATGTCTTTGGAGAGAGGACTGGCCTAGATCTGTCTTCACAGGTTTCTGATGTTAGCCTCTCACTTATTCAGTGTATACTTTGTGAAGGAGGGGAAAATTAAAATTCCCCTATGCCATGCACTTCTGTTTAGAAAATAGTTATCCCTTGTGGAACTGTTAAATGAATAATCAGGAGAGGAAAAACATGTCATAAGATGAATGAATGAATGCACCAAGGCTGCTTTCTTAGCCCCTCAAGCTGTATTGGGACAAGAAAATGTCAGTTAGTTTGGAGGGCTGAGCACATTAGTCACATTGGCTTCACTAGAATACAAAATGATTATGTAAAATACGTTGTTAGCTTGATCAGATAGAAACTATGTTATTGAAAGTAGTCTGTTTGGAGAGAATTTGCTAGCCCAGTGCACATTCACACTTCTTGTTTTGAACTTCATCACATGGCACCCAACATTATATTTATCAAAAATAAATTTCTGTATTATTTTATGTGGGTGAGCAGCACTTGGTTGAAAGAAAGAGTGCAAGACATCCAGGTGAATAGCCTACATATGCTGTGTACAAGAATGTATTGCACCATTTATGCCATTGTGAACTTGTAAAGGATTTCTTAGGTTTTTAATTGCCGGTATCTTCCAAAGAGAAATGTTGTGTATACATAAGGGGAAGAGTTTAAATTCCTATTTGATTTAAATGGGTCTTCTTTGACTTCAAATTTTTTAATAAGTATACACATCATAATAAGAAATGTGTATCAGCAAAGCTATTATACCAGGTTGCCAATCTAACTGTTTAAATATCTTATTTATTTCTGTTTTACTGTCAGGCTGCAACCCAAAATAAGCAATTCCTTCTCCTTTATTGTAATGCTGCTTATCCATAGTCCCTTACCCATCTTCTTGTGTAATTGGAGCAATAGGAAGACTGCACAGCACAGTAAAGCAAGCAGAGAGCTGTTCCCCAGGTTCAGTGTATCAGAAAAGCTATAAATAGTAATGTGTGGTCTTGCAGCATCAGCTATTGATCCTATGCATTGTGGCCAATCAAGGAAAACTGCTTGGAGACCAGGGCAGGGTGTAAGGAGTTTCACCCAGCAAGAACCTTGCATGGTTATAGGTCAGTGGTTAACTGCAACTTTCTGTCTGGACCATTTGTTTTCCTGTTTCCTTGTTCAGGGCTGTCTAATAGTGAGTGATGAGTTGAATCATGCATCTCTAATATTAGGAGCAAGACTTTCAGGAGCAACAATTCGAATCTTCAAGCACAATAGTGAGTATTTCCCAGGACGTTTATTAATTTGACCGGAAATTCCTATGTTGTGGGCTAAATGCAGACTTTGATTTTAACCCCCTGAAAAAGCTACCCAGAGAACATTCATTTATGGGCAGTATATAAATAAAACTCTATAGCAGCCCCAGGTGCATTTTAAAAAAACGTTCTTAACATTCAAGGCTATCACAAATGAGAAAGCATTCAAAAGCTCCTCCCTGAGTAGGTGTTACTGTGGTCTTCAGATGAAGAGCGGTATAGTTATGTAATTTTTTTGTTAATTTTTCCTCTTCAAGCTTTCTCCATATCCTATTTACCTGTTCAAATGCACTGTTTATCTTATGGACATAAGAAGATCCCTGCTGGATCAGACTAAAGACCTGTATAGTTATCAAGTCCAACATCCTGTTCTCACAGTTGTCAGATGGAAACCTTTCTGAAACCCCAAGCAGGACATGAGGGAAATAGCCTCACCTGCTGTTGTTCCACTTCTAATGGTATTCAGAGACATGATAGCTCTGATCCTGGAGGGGTGGCAAGTAGTCATCATGACTGATAACTATTGATAGCCTTATCCTCTTATGAATTTTGTGATTCCCCCTTTAAAGGCATCCCTATTGATGCTGCTGTCACATCTTTGCAGATTCCATGGTTTTAACTATGTGCTGGGTGAAGACGTATTTCCTTTTGTTCTGTTCTGAATCTTTCTCCATTCAGTTTCACTTGATGATTTCTGATTCTAGAAGTATACAGTCGTACCTTGGATCTCAAATGCCTTGGCCCCCGAACAAATTGTCTCCCGAACAACTGATACCCGGAAGTGAGTGTTCCGGTTTTCAAACAATTTTTGGAAGCCGAATGTCTGACGTGGCTTCTGATTGGCTGCAGGACATTCCTGCAGCCAATCAGAAGCCGCGCCTTGGGTTTTGAACAGTTCCGGGAGTCGAACAGACTCCTGGAATGCATTCTGTTTGAGAACCAAGGTATGACTGTAGCTCTGTCATATCTCCCAGCTTAACATGATGTGCAGCTGAGTCCGTATGTTCCCAGTACTAATTGCTCCCAGTACTAATTGGAGCGGGTGTTGTCAGGCAGAGTGATTCTTCAAAGTGAAGAGTGATTCTTTAATAAGCAACAAAAACAACAACATAATGTCACCCTCTGAATTACTGCTGTAGTAATGCTGTCTATTGCTGCTTCTGCTCCTAGTCCCTTTACAAAAGTAACAATGTTCTTTGGAATTGTGTTCTTTCTGTATAGATATGCAGAGCTTGGAGAAGCTGCTCAAAGATGCCATTGTGCATGGGCAGCCACGCACACGCCGACCATGGAAAAAAATTCTCATCATTGTCGAAGGCATTTTCAGGTACAAGCTTGGTCCTTCCAATCACCAGTGCTGTTTGCCATATTGGATCATTGTTATTGTCCATTTTGAGGCAATCTGTAATCCAAGCCAAATTGTTGGGTGCTTATTATTTGACTCTGGACAGCTGTAATCATGTCCAGCCATAATGATGCTCCAAGTTGCATTAGTGCTAATAAATCTAAACTGGAGATGTGATTTTTTTTGCCAGGTGTTTCTGTAATGGATTGTAATGGACATAGTTTCTGTTGTCTCACTTTGTCAGCCAAGGGTAAACTTGGTAATGACTGACTGAAGGGGGTATTCTGTGAAGAGAAGGATTGTAACGTGAATCTCTCCGGGTTTATCAATTCTACATTTAATATTTCTGTCGCTTTTCCTCTCCTCACTGAGCAGAGCAATTTGCAAAATGCAAAACAAAAAAAGCTCACCACTTCATTAAACCAATTAAACACAATATTACAAAGACTATAAATTTGAAACGGTAATTGAAAGCAGTAGATACAGGACGCATAATGCCAGTGTGATGCTGTAACTATCTTAAGCTCTGAAGCCTTTACTTCACCAAACCTTTATTAGGCATTAGTTCAGCTCTGAAGCATCAAAAACTTGTTAAGAAAGGGGTTATGCGTAGTTGCAGATGGATGTTTTGGGGAGCCTTGATGCAGTAAAGGGATTGATACCTTACGCAGCAGTCCTAACCATGTCTACTCAGAAATAAGTCCTGTTAAATTCAGTGGAGCTTACTTCCAGGAAAGTGGGTTTAGGATAGCAGCCTTGCGCACTAACTTTTTCAGAGCAATGCCTGGAAAACTGCTTCTATAGCAAGGGTCTCCAAGCTTTCGTTGCCTCGGGCCGGAGTCTCAAGCGATGATCGCGCGGCGGGCTGGAGGGCAGGGGAGCGCACACCCGTACACGTGCACACACGCTATTTCTGGTGCACATCCGGGTCGGAGGAGGCCCATGCGCACAAGCTATTTCCGGTGCTCCTCCGACCTTGTAATTACTTGGAAAATATTAACCGGCCCCTTTTCTAGGGGATTTCAGCATCACTGGGAGATTCCAGAATTCACAACCATCTCTTGTTTTTCTTCACAGCATGGAGGGATCCATAGTCCGGCTTCCTGAAGTAATTGCCCTTAAGAAAAAGTACAAATCATACTTGTACTTGGATGAAGCTCATAGTATAGGAGCATTGGGTCTCAATGGCCGGGGTGTAGTGGACTATTTTGGACTTGACCCTGAGGATGTGGATATCATGATGGGAACATTCACCAAGGCTTTTGGAGCTGCTGGAGGATACATTGCAGGCAAGAAAGTAAGAACTCGTGTTGGGAAGAAATTTTGTGGCTTGTTAGTAAGGAATAGAAGCAGCAAACTCGGATGCTTAGAACATCAAGATCATCTCCATTTAAATTTTGAGTAAATTCCAGGATCCCAGGCATAAATATATAAAACATTTTGAAAAGCTCGATTAGTAGTACTATTATGTTTTTGCAGGACTTCTCAAATAAAATACATGGTCCAAACAAATGCCCATTTATTACTAAAGCTATCGAAGGTCAAAGCAGCAGCTAATCCTGAGCACTACGTGTGTCTTGCTTCTATTATTTATTCATACATACATACATACATACTACATACATACATACCCCACCCATCTGGCTGGGTTTCCCCAGCCACTCTGGGTGGCTTACAGTATATATAGAAGACAGAGATTACCCAACACTTAAAATAACACCAGTACTCACTCTCCGAGGTTTATTTGATTGCCCTTCTTATGAACTTCCCACCCCTTCTGCAAGTGTCATAGCAGGTTGGGCACTCACCCACCACAAAACTCAGCCTGTTGGACTCTCCATCCTCCCATATATATATTTGCCGTGCTCAGTTTCCTAATTTTATCCAGAATCAATACGCCATTTGATGACGAGAGAGTAATCATTTATGTGCTGCTAGGCTTTTGCTTATCAGTTATCATTAGGACAGCATCTCCCTGACACTCATTTTCAAAACAACATCATGGAAATACAGTGGTACCTCTGGATGCGAACGGGATCCATTCCGGAGCCCCGTTCGCATCCTGAAGCGAACGCAATCTGTGCGTGTGCAGGTCACGATTTGCTGCTTCCGCGCATGCGTGTGGCGTTATTTTGAGCGTCTGCGCATGTGCGAGCGGTGAAACCCAGAAGTAATGCGTTCCGTTACTTCCGGGTCGCCGTGGAGCATAACCTGAAAATGCTCAACCCGAAGCTACTTCAACCCAAGGTATGACTGTACAGCTTCTTCCTAATGACAGCATTTATCTCCCTAGCAAAAATGGTTGATCAAAGATAAGGAGATGCATGTGCACCACCAACCTACGATGAAAGATGAAGGCGCAACTATATATACCGGCCTTCACTTCATATCTTTCAAATAATTAGTCAGCAAAGCAGTGTAAATATCAGCACTGCATACTTGCCCCATCAAAGACTGCTCTCTCAGTGGCAAGGATAATTTCTGATAACCTGCTGTATTCACTTTGTCAGGAGCTGATCGATTACCTTCGTGTCCATTCACACAGTGCAGTATATGCCACTTCGCTTTCCCCCCCTGTTATTGAGCAAATCATCGCATCAGTGAAGTGCATTATGGGTGAAGATGGCACAACACTTGGTGAGTTTCAGGCACTGTAATTCTCATGAGGTGTTAGATTAAACAACTGCTCCTTCAAGTCCGCAAAGCAACTTGGATTCTTTGCAGGTGTTGCTCTTGCCCACAAGGTGGCAGTATGCATTGAAGGACTACCTATTCAGCACCATCCCTCATTTTCTGTGGAGGACTGTTTTGTGAAATTAGCCTTTTCTTTATGTTGTTGGTAGTTGAATGAACTTTTCATCATTGCTGCTGGTCAGGTTGAGATTTGTATTGGATAATGGTTTTCATTTACTAAGGCAAAAGCTATCGCTGTGCAAAATCCTTGTTTGAGAGATGCGTAAATCTAAGACCATAAGAGGATCCGGTTAGAGCAGACTGAAGACCCATCTAGTTCAGCATCCTGTTCTCACAGTGGCCTCCCACATGCTTATGGGGAGCCCATAAAAAGCACCCAAGCACAAGAGTGCTCTACCTCCAGCCATTGGTATTCAGAAGTTTACAGCCTCCAACCACAAAGGCAGATCACAACCATCATGGCTAGTAGTCATTGATAGCCTTAGCTTTTAGGAATGTGTCTAATCTGTTTTTAAAGCCATCTAAGTTGGTGGCCATCCCTGCCTCCTGTGGGAGTGAGATCCTTGGTTGAACTGCACTATGTGAAGAAGTACTTTCCTTCAGTACTTTGTCCTGAACCCTCCAAAAATCAACTTCAAGGGATCTCCATGAGTTCTAGTGTTATGAGAGAGGGAGAATAACTACTCTCTATCTGTTCTCTCTGTGCCATGCATAATTTTACAAATTTATAATTTTACAAATTTCTACCATGTCACCTATTTACTTGCCTTTTCTCTAAACTTAAAAGTCCCAGATGCTGCAACCTTTCCTCATAGGGCAGTTGGTCTTTCCCCTTGTTTATTTTGATTGCCCTTTTCTGAACCTTTTCTAACTCTGCAATTATCTTTTCTTGAGGGTGACTAGAACTGTACACAGTATTCCAAATGTATTTCCACCAGAGACGGCATGACATTGGCAGTTTTATCCTTTCAATTCCCTTCCTAATTATCTCTAGCATGCAGTTTATCTAGCACACTGGGTTGACATCTTCATTGAGCTATCTACCCCAAAAGTCTCATTCATGGTAGCCCAGTGTGGATTTTCTCTGGAAAGTGTATTCCCACAAAGCTTCACAGCTACTAATATGGTAACTAGGGCACTAGCTTTGTAGTTCAGATCTAGTGATGTAGTTGCTGGTGAGATCCCATTATAGCTTTAGAACTGTAAGTTCCAAATGGCTATTGACTCCAGGTTTTCGCTTCCCTGGAAAACTTAAAAGTGAATAATTGAATAAGGTAAGCTCAGGTGGATTCATCTTTTTTGACTCTAATGTAGGAATCCGAATTTGTTCAGTATGAACTATAACTTTTTAACTGTTTTATAGTAATATTTGGAAAGAACTGGAAGATTTTAGAATTTGAATGTTGACGTCCCTAAGCAAAGTTAACAATTTTAAGTGTCTCCTAAGTTAGCTGGGCTTTCAAGCAACAGCTTGCGGCAACTTCAGCACTTCATAGCCTTTGCACAAAGGCTGTTAACCCAGTTGCTACTCATATGGAGAGTCTCAAATGTCTTAGATTGGCAAGGACAACAACATCAACTTTGCATACTTTTGGTTAGTATATAGTCATACTGGTACAATTTTTTGTAACTAGTTCTTTAGCAACCTAAAACACAAAGGGGACAAGTCCCTGGTTTTTATTTGCAGCCATTAATGACTTGCTTCTAGATTCTGTGAGATTGCCATTTCTCTTATGTCTTACCAATCTTGTGCTTTGGCCAAGAGCAGATTCTTGATGCTGTCTTCCATGCATTAAATACCAATGAAGGTACAGAAGCAATTTCCCAGATCTGGAACTATTGCCAACAGTGTAGCAATCCTTAAATCAAGAATCTGCAGAAGGGGTTCACTGATACTAGCTGTATACAGTGAGCTGCGTGTTGACTTGCCTTCTGGAAATGGAAAGGCTCTAGATCCAACAGAGGCTCCCATCGGAGAAGTGGGGGGAAGGAAGATTATTTTTGCCACTTCAGTTTGCAGATCCCAGCACTATCTCCCACCCTGATCCAGAAGGTTTTTGACCCCCTGGAACAGTTTTCAAGGGGTAATCTGCAAAAAATACCTCCCAGCCTCATCATCCAAAGGATGGAGTCCACCGATGGGTAGTCTGGATCTAACTTTTCATATTTTATTCTCTATTACTGAATGTGCAGAGCAAGTAAAACATACATACTGCTTTGTTTATAAAGTTGTGTGGTTATAGAATTAACTATCCTTCAAAAACAAAAATCTCCTGATGTATCTCAGTTCTGATTACTTACAATTTATTGCTGCGATATAATGTAAATTCTCATTGTAACTGCATTGCTTATTTAGGGTTGTCAAGAGTTGGTTAAAAAGGGGTTGCTTGAAAGTATTTGAGTTTCTGGACTCTTCATGGATGTAGAAGAATTGGACTAAGTAGCTGAAGTTCATTTCAGGTTACATATGGTAGGATTCAGAACTCATTTTACTCTAGAAAATATATCTGAGCAAAGGTCTTAGTGTCACTTAAGATCTGAGAGGAGGGTGGGAATAAGTAGAAAAAATGACTATGCTTACAAAGTAAAATGGGGATCAACAGCCAGAGCAGAAATTACTTTTCATGTTTTCGTTGTATTCAGATGAATAGTAAACAACTTTAGCATCACCTTCACAAATTGTATGAGGGCTTAGTAGCTCTCAAAACTTGGGGACATGTCTTTGTAGATTCTATGGTACATTGGCTATTGTTAAATATTTGCAATCATTCCAGAGAGCCTTCCTTGGCCAAACAGGATGTTAACAGCAGGCACCTTGGATAGAATACACATGCCACAGAAAACAGCATGGCCATTTCCGAAACAGGACAAGAGGCTAATGAAGACTGAATAGACTTAATTAGGTGACAGCACGTGAACATGCAATCTGGAATAGGACAGAAGCTTCCCTTCTTTTATTTCCTATTGTTCGTTCAAACAAATCTTTCAGTGCTGGCATTGTTTCTGTCTGGTACTCATAATGGTCATCCCCAGGGTGCTGTCTGAAATACTCCATGTTAATTTAAAAATATAACTTGTGGCAGTATTTGTTTCTGTGTTTTGCAATTGAATGTGACTTGGTTCTAAAAAGCCAGCCTAGTTTAGCAGCTCTAGACAGGCAAAGAGTGTGCTATTAAAAATCTGTTCCTACTACCTTCTCGGCAGGGGTGTCTGTTAACTCTGTGGTTCTTAAAAATTAAAAAATTGTCCAGTAGCACCTTAGAGACTAAGTTAGTTTGTTCTGGGTATAAGTTTTTAAATTTATTTCGACTGTGTCAGACCAACACTGCTGCCTGTGTCTGGTTCTTAGTAACTGCGTAGGTCCTTACCTTCAAAGTTTATAGGTGCTTCATTACTATTTTTTGCATGTTAGTAGTTTTGCATTTGAGTCTCTCAAATATGTGATGTGTAGTTTCCTTAAAAACAGGCTGCTAACTACAATCCAAGAAGAGGAAAAGGACTCTCCCCCCCCCCCATATACTTGATTATACAAATGGGAAGGGATTTATTGCTCTTTCTAAAAGTCAGTTTTGGGACAAGTGTCTGCACCTGAGACTGGGGGGAGGGGCAGGGTGGAGAGTCAGAAATCTATTGCTCCAAACACTTTGGATTAATAAAACATTTAGAAGCATTTTTCCCCCCACAGAGGTTGATAATTTACTGGATGAATGTAAATAATCTACCTACTCTTGTAAAAAAAAAAAAAAAGTTAAAATAAATAAGGAATTAGTAATAAGTAGCCCATAGCAAAGCACTACGTAGTTTAACTGTTCAACAATCAATTAGTTTGGAGCTCCATGATGCTGTACTGCACATCAACTTACCTGGAGGAGCTGCTGTTGCCCATATTAAACTCACAATCACTGAAGTACATTAGAACCTCTATTTTATAGAGGCATTGAAAAAATGGGGGAGTGGGGAAATCCCATCTTTTTACCTTAAGAGACTTGCTGTAGATGCTTCATCTTTTTGGTTTCCCTTTACTGAACTTATCCAGCTCAATACAGTATGCGATTTGATGTATGGCAACAAGAATTGCATGCAGTATTCCAAGCATGGTTGCATTGTAGATTAGTAGACAGACCTTATAATATTGGCAGATTTTGTTTTTATGTCTATCAATCCCCAGAATGGAGCTTTCCTTTTCTTACAGCAACTGCTTTCTGAAAAGGTTAGAATCTTTGGGGCCTTTCAGCTGTAAACAAACAAACAAACACGGACAGAGAAGGGGGAACATAAGAAGAACTGTATGAAGTTAGGCATAGTGTGAAGAAAGCATCATAAAACTAGAATCCAGTGAAGTTGAATGGTGGGAGATTCAGGACAGGCAAAAAGAAATACTTCTCTCACAGCGTATACTGAAACTATGCAGTTCACCACCACAAGATGCGAGGGTGGCTGCCATTAGGTGCTTTTTAAAAGAGATTGGACAAATTCATGGATAATAAGGCTTTCATAGAATGGTAAGAGTTAGAAGGGACCACAAGGGTCATCTAGCCTAATCCCTTGCAGTGCATGAATGTTTTGCCCAACATGGGGCTCGAACCCACAACGCTGAGATTAAGAGTCTCATCCTCTACACAGGTGGCTGTGATAATGTATCTACTTCCTCCAGGATCTGAGGCAGCTTGCTTCAAACTACCAGTTGCTGGAGACTGTGAGCAGGAGAGTGCTATTGTTCTCGTGTTCAGCTTGTGTGATTTCTAGCTGGCCACTGTGGCAAACAAAATGCTGGACTTAATGTACATACGGTCTGATCCTGCAAGACTCTTGTGTTCTTGCATTGTTCTAATGGATTACCAATTCTCTATCATCATATGAGGTCACAAGTTCCACACAGATGCCCCAGGAAGACTTTTATGTGGAAATCTGTTCTATGAACAATGCTGCCTTCTTGGGGATTT